GCAAATAAAGTAAAAACTTACAAGAAAAACTGGCGAACTCCGAATGCACAATACAGGTGGGGAGTCGCGCGGAACGGGTTTCCACAGCTCAGGCAGGTGGCAGAAAATTGTGGCTGATAGGGGTCGCTCGGATCGTGAAATGGCGGTGGCCAGAGAGCTCTTTTTGCAAAGGTCTATCGACCTTTTCATTTTAGTAATTGCCTCACCGGCGGATAGAGGACGCTGGCGCACATGGCACCATTAGGTTGCTTCAATGCGGAGGGCAAGTTCGTCTGCTCCTTGCGCAGGGGGTAGCGGTGACGTCAGAACGCCGAGCCCTGATTGGCTGATAGAGCCTCCCTATCTGAGCGTCGTCTGCTTCTTTGCAACGTCGTCTGCTCGCAACGTCATCTGCGTCTGTCTTACGTTTCCTGCGACTTTCGGGAGTGCAGAGGCCAGATTCACGAAACGATCTTACGCCAAAAATGTGCGTAAGACAAAACTTAAGGACAAATTCGTATTCACGAAACGAAATTTTCGTAAGTTTTGCGCAGGTTACGGCGAAATCCTACGACAGCTCCGAAGCTGTTACGCACTTCTTACGATCAAGTCAGCATGGCCGACAGCGTCGCGGTCGCGACGACCCACGGACGTTTATTTTTCTACGTGAGCTTCTCACGCGTCCTGACTTCAAGCAGCAAAAAAAAAGTAAAAATTATTTGAAACAGAGCACGACGAACAAGAACGCTGGATCCACAGACACCGGGGAAAAGCTCCAACGGCGACGATTCCACCGAACGCGACCAACCGAGCTGGGCAGTTAGGCCTAGCAGGCACTCCGCGACTCGGCGACCGTCTGCCCACGACCGGCTGACGTGCTGAATGGAATATGCCCGCGCGACCCTTGTGAACCCTTCCCGTGTTATACTTTGATCGCTGACCTCAATTTTAGATTAAGAGGTCAATTTCTTCCTCTTGTTATCTCCTTGTTTCCCGAGGCAACGGTGACTCTCGCCGGTGAAAAAGCGGCGAATCTCCGACAGACGCAGGAAAGGTAAAGCAGCCATCGCTTTGACTAGCAGACGTAAAGCAGACGACGTTAACTGCGCCAACCCGCCGGCGCCGTTAAAGAGTGAGGGGTCTCGCCGCACACGAATGGAGGGAAACGTATTTGGGAGGGAACTTGCGGACACAAAGCAAACAAACCTTGGCGCCCCGGGACACCTCGCCAATGAGTCCTTTGACTGCCCTCCTTGATGCGCGTCTGCTAGTTGTTAGACGAAAACAACGTACCGCTCGAGTTATTTCGTCTGCCCTCCCTTAAAGGCCAAGTCGAGTTCGCTCCGAAAGTCGCAGGAAAGGTAAGACAGACCCAGACGATGTTGCGAGCAGACGACGTTGCAAAGGAGCAGACGACGCTCAATAGGGGGTCGCGATCAGCCAGTCAGGACTCGGCGTTCTGACGTCACCGCTACTTCCTTTCTTATGCGCAGAAGACGAAAATGAGCCCCCTTGCGAGGCGTATTAGGTTGGTTTCCGTTTCAACGGGAACGCGGCTGTGTTGCTGTTTTACGTTGTTTGTGGTTAATTTCGTGATACGATTATTTTCCTTGTAGCACACAACCAATGAAACAGTGGTACTGAGCCACTTTGAGGACTACGAGGCGTATTTTAGCCTATATTGAAAGCTATTTTACCAAATTCTTTGATGTATTTGATTATGGTCGGTTGCGAAACGCCTGACTGATGTACAGGGAAGATTACCATCGTCCACGGCTGTACCCGATGATACCAGATTCCAGAAAAACAAACTAATGAAGGGACTAACACGTGAATATAAATAAGCATGTCGACAGCTTGATTAGCAGTGTGTTGAATCGATCAGAACAGATGAAATCGCGAGTTTACTACTCACTGTTTGGTTTTCGTTGGCACCCAACCTTTAGTGAACTTAGCAGACCAAAAACGTAGCGTGTAATGACGCAGATAATTGATATAAACAAGTAGTATCGTTTCAGCCACTTTTTTTTTTAATTCAGTACTTGAGCATGTTTTGGCAGCCGAGTAGGAAATTTTGTAAATTATCCACCCTGCTAAAGTACTCATAAGCATCAATTCGCAATATTGACCCTATGAAATAAATTATTTTTATAAGGCTATCTGTTTATTCAAGATATGATATAAGTGACAGGCCCGTTAAGTTAAATCTGGCATTTATCTTCCGTAAAATTGGCCAAATAAAATGAAATGGCGCTGGAGAAGAAATACCTCGGAACGTTTGGCTGAATTCTAGCACTAGGCACCACTTCACGGACCCGGGTGAACAAATATTTATTTGTTTGAACAGATTCGCTTTGTAAATTTAGGCGTCGCCAGCCACCAACAATCCTGGACTCAGGTAATTGCTATGCAGACGACACTTTTTTTTTTCGGTATCAAATATTGCGGATTTTACATACTGGCAAAAGTTAAAACAGCGTAAAAAAAAAAAAAAAATCATTATTGCGCATGCGCCGAACCCAAACGGCGTTTTGGATTTGCAGATAGAAACGACTTTATTTCTTTATGCACGCTATTCTAAAACTCGCTACTGTTATTAAGTGTCTGTGGCAGTTCCTTACGCAGAAGGTCCCAACCATTGTGTTAAAATAAATGGAGGGATGGCACTGGTTATCTAAATATAATCAATGAATCACCTAAATGACTGACGAACTGTCTTAAAATTCATAAGTAAACCGACCAGCCAAATGTTTACGTCGCAAAAAAAAGAAAAAAAAAAGAACCTCATACAGATGTAGATGTACTCTTACGAACGAACAAATCGCCTGATGTTGACCTACCATTAGTTCTAACCGCAGATAGAATAAAAGTTAAACGTTCGTTGTTTATCTCCTCCGCGAGTTTCCTCGCATAATCAAAAGAAGCTGTTTTCGATATATTATGAGTACAAATAACAATACTTGCAGGAAATAAAGATAATCTCCTTTTACTGACTATTCTTGACGCGTTCCGATCCTCAGTGTCCAATATAAATATACGGGCTTCTTACTGAAAATTTTCCGCCACTATTACTAAACAAACCTCAGTTGTCATAAGGACCTTTGAACCCTCGTCGAGTAGACATATCGAACTACAATTTCCGAAGCAAGGCAAGAAAGTGCGGTGAAACACGACGCAAAACACGAATACAACGCATCCGCCAAGGCGCAGAGGGGAGAGCGGAGCAGCAAGTTAAAGTACGTTAAAGCAACCTAATCAGGGTTGCCAGGTAGTTTCCAGCTGAAACTGCCAAAAGCCAAACGGTGTGGCCCAAAAGTAGCCAAAGGTAAGAGATTTATATAGCCCAAAAGTAGCCATATTCTGCAGAGCCTAAAACATTGTGCGCTTGAAAGTGCGAGCTCAATTCGAAGGCAGTGCGTCTGCATGTCTAGGGTTTAGGAGCAGCTTCCAAGATCTACGTCATCTTGAAAAGTATTGGACGTTTTATTTCAAACACAAAAGTACAAAAATTCTCCACACGCGTTTTTGCAGTCACATATAGTTATAAAGCACACGCTTGTGCCCGGTTTACCCGCCTCATACATGATTTCCGTGTTAAAACGGGCAAAAACTTCTTTAGTAGGGTTGATGTCCTTACTGAATTCCTTCCTTCCAAGGAAAGCAAAGTTTACATAGGGGACGTTTTGAAGAGTTGGAAGGGACATGTTCTACCTTAGGACTGACTGTGTGAGGGACACGTGACTGAATACTCTCTCCACGGCGGCATTCGACATGGGCAGTGTCAGGAGCGCGATGGCAAGCTCGGATAGCAACGGAAACAGGGCTGCTCCTGCGCATTGATCTCGGCCTTGTTCGGAATATTCATTGTCCCAAATCTGTTGTCTTTTGTTATGGCTCATTGTGCTTTAAGAAACTTTCATGTTCCGCGGAAAAGCCTCCTTCGTTATATCCGGTACAGCACGCGTTATCGGGCGACATCAGATTCTGCAGGGTGTCTTGAGTTGCCCTTAGTATCATTTTTCCTCGGATGATGTGCTTCCTGTAGGAGGATGGTGGAAAACTAGTGGAATTAAGAGACGCCAGTAGGAAGCAGAAAGAACTTGGGATCATAAAATAAGCCACAATTACTACAAAAGCGATGTCGACGGAGCTGAATCTAGGTCACACTAGTTCACTTGAGCTAATAGGTTCTGGCATCACGCCCACGAATCTTCACGCAGAAAATCCCTGAAAGCGGGAATCCAGAAAGGGTGGACTGTCGCTTTGTGTCCATGCTGAAGTGTCTTTGGCACAACTACTCTAAACCAAGAAGAAAAAAAAAAAGTGCCGCATTAGGATTTAAAATAGTCCAAAAATAGCCACATAGCCAACCGCCAAATTTCGACGCCAAATACCTGGCAACCCTGAACCTAATGGCTGCCGCGTCACGTGATTCCAAGATGGCAGTACCCATGCAGAGGAGGATGAAAAGGTCATCCCGCGTATGGAATGCAAAAGACTTCTAGAAACACGAGCAACGGAAAGCAAACGAGACGAGGATATCGATTCAACTATGAAAGGGACGAAACTGGACGGAATATGTATACCGCTCCCGTATCAAATTATTTCTTAGTTTTTACTAAACCATTTTACAGTCAACAAAACCGCTCATTCTGTTCAGACAGCAGCCCTCACGCTTCAACCGTGTTTTGTCTTCCTAAAATTGAGTGGCTCAGAGGTTTTCGATGATGCTCAGCAAGTTTCAAATTGAAAGAAGACGTCTATTTTCAGTTAATGAGTAAATTTTAGTTAATTAATTACCTAATACTATGTTTTATGCAATTCATTGCAGGTGGTACTTTGTTCTTAAGAAGTCTTTTTTCGCAACCACCTATTGGCAGAGATATTTTAAAATCCGCTGAAACACCTGGGCCAAGCTGGGTTATACTACTAACCACCTCTTCAACCAGAATGACTTGTAATGTTACATAATTTCTCTTTAGGGTAATTAGCAGATGACACAATGAGAGTAAGATTTCTGCTTCAGGGGTATTATTAGAACACTAGCAGACACTAAGCATTTATTGTAGTTTGCTGGTGATGTCAGCTCAATGCCTGACTTGCGATGCTTCAAGAAGTGCTTGAACCTCGTCTCTTGTTCTCTCCTGCAAGTGAAACATACAATGTTCACGTTAAAAGAGGCAGACTTAAGCAGCTTCCCAGGGAGCCCATACCAGCTGAGGCCCTTTTACCAGCCTTCTCAGATGCAAACTCCAAGGGGTGTCTGACTGGCATCCCTCACTCATTTCATGGAAACTCAAAATTAATAGAATAATGAGTGAAGAGTGCACACAAACATTATTATTTGTTAAGCAATCAGATTCTGTTCACGACATTCAATGGAACCATGGCTGTCACTAGTGAAGGTACCCAGGACCTTCTGACTGGTTCCCAAAATTGAGTAGTCGACAAGTCGGGCATGGTATGGCGTACGACTTGCTTAAAACAAGTTATACACCCTACCAACTAACCCGCACAGAACCTACGATTCCGAGTGGGTTAGGTGTCCTCACTAGAACAAAAAAGCAAAGTATAAAGTCTACACTTTGGAATGTTTAATGTACAAGGGTTCATTTAAAAGAAACACTGCACTCCCAAAGCTATTTTAACTGCATGATACGACACAAACATCACAAAAAGCATTGCCCCCCTTAAAAAAGAAATTTACAATTTTATGGAATATTGACGAGGTGACACAGCTCTTTAGTGTGGAGAAATACCAGGTGCTTCTTGTGTCAAGCCTGGCAACCTTCTTGTTTCAATTCTGCTTGTGCTAAATTTTGTATCAAGGGTACATATATGAGAAAAATAAAAGGTGTTTTCTTTTTCCTAGGATGCAAAGGTAGTGCATTTGTTTTATGATCCGTTCTGCTCTGTTGTTTGTGCAGTAAACAAAGTCACGGTTCAAAATCATGGCGGCTATAAACTAAAGCCGACACCTGGTACAGAGTATGTGCTTAAAGCGGCACTCAAGTGCTTTTTGGAGAAGTTTCTTTTTGAAAGCATATTGTTGGTTGGGCTTCAGTCAATGAAAATGACCAGTTCTAGATGGCAAGACACCGAAATAATAATAATTGTTAATTTCGTGGACATTCCGAAACTTACTAGTATTGCTCTTTTTAGACACATGCACATTATATTTTGACAACCACGTCAAATCTTAGGATGTAGATGACGTAATACAGCTAACATTGTTTGAAAACGAGCGAAATATGTTTTCTCCTTGCCTTGTACATGTGAGTGATATGCCCGCGCAGCGACGCGGCTGACGCGGCCGCGTCGCTCGTCAAGTTCAACTCTGTCGTCTACCGGTTGTCTTTCCGAGGCTCCCACTCCATCCCGTTCTCGAAGCAAGGTCCGCGAAGACGCGGATGGTTACGTTGCACCAGGCAAGAAAACGACACCGAGGACTTCCTCCACATTCCTCGTTTCCGTGCGGACAACTTCGAGGCATTCGCCAGCGGTGACCGTAGTTCTGGATGCCATTAGTCTGCTGTACCGACGCTTCTGCTTCCAGTCGCCGACGGGACGGACGGGACCGAGCGAGGAACCCGCGAAAAAGTCCTGGTTAGTGTTTTGGCGAGTTTCGTGAGTTTCATGAACGTCGCATTTGGCAGCAGTCTGCATGACATACGTGTTCGGAACTAAGGGTACATATTTGGTAGAGGAGAGAACCGTGTTTTTCAACCCGCGCAAATAAACTATGCGTCTTGGAAAACTGAATACCGCTGAGACGCTAATGGTGGCGACAGAATGCGAAAGTTTGCGAGCATGACGTTACCTGAATCAAAAGGATACAAATACTTTATCGGTACTCAGTGGGGGAGGATTAACCACGCGTACAGGGTCACAAAAGGCAATGCTGCCCATACCGGAATGGAGCTGATGTCCATGCTTATCCAATTTGCGTGCTGTCCTTTGTATTTTGTTCCTAAATAACTTTGTGAGGGCATGACAATCTTGTTTTTTTTTCAAAAGTTGAACTAAAATGTTTTAATAAACCCCCCAAAAATTATGAATGTGTGTTTGATCGAAAACTGAAACTTCAACGTTGTGCTAACATTTTTCTGCAAAGAAATTAAAAAAGGCTCTGTTATGCCCTGGGGTACCTATCCAGCAGTCACCATGACCAATTTCACATTGCCACTGCCTTTTGCAAATTTTCCCCGACGGGGATAGGCGACACATAGTACCCATCTCTCTTATAACTTGAGAATGAATAATGACAGTGTCATGAAACTTTGCCATTAGTCTTAAGCAACTGTTATAAACATGCCCAAAACATTTCATTCAGGTATTTTTAGAATTAAAAAGGTTCATTTTCCGTCCCCACCTCCCACCTTATTTAAGCATACTTGAGCCCTCATTGAACGATCAAAAAGGTACTGGGTGAAATACAAAGCCAACTGCCAAAATTATGTCACCATGAAGGCATTGGACGTAGCCCAGGGCCCCGAAATATGATCTTCCTTGCCTTAAGGAACCTATTGAAGATGGCTTCTCCTAAGCCCTGTGCTTCGAAGAGGGAGAGCATGTCAAGAACCATGGGCAGTTCGTCCGGTTCCAGCAGGACTTGCAGCAGCTTGCTCGCATTCTCGTAGGTGTCCAGGAGGCTGACAACGTGAGTTTGGAACGACGGACTGCACAAGTCCTCACGCTCTGCAATGGGTTTCAAAGACGGTAATCAGAGACGGAACACAGGCCACTTTGCCATTGCAGGTATATTGCTCATTCATTAAATGAAGCTCGTTTTTTGCCTCATGCAACTTGCCAGCAAGCGTTACATACTTGCTCGTTTCCTATCAAGTATTGCACAGCGTGAGCCAAAGTGATGGTTGGCCGTTTGAAGGGACCACATAAATGGGTTTTGAATGGTCATACGTGAATAGCAAATTTTGAGTTGAAATCAAATAGTTTTTCAAGCCTTTCTAAACGACAACAAAGCTAAACTTACAAAGGTTGTTCCCAAGCTTCGTCCATTTATGCGCCAATATAACATGTTTACGAACTGCGACCTTAAAAAGTCCAATGCCTTGGAATGGCAAGCAAACAATGTATGTGGCATAAAATGAAACCTATTAAGATGGCCAGGTACACCTAATTGCAATGGAGTGGATTTAAAAACCTCGCTATCTTTCTTAAAATCTCGAATGATGAACAAAGGTTGTCAAGGCATCTACTCTTGCATAACAGCTACAGTTTTAAAGATATGTAGAGATGAGCATTCACAAAGTTTCTTTTGAAATAGACCAGACATGCACATGCATCATCCTGTTTTGAAGCTGTTCTCCCAAGCAGCAATTGCAATATTCCTACTTCTTCGAGTGGTGATCGCCGCAGGTTTCCCCGTTGAGAGCGCTTCTTGCTAAGCAAAGCTCGCATCCGCAGGTGTTGCTTCTCCGCAATGCACCCATGCTCGGTAAGAAGCGCACTCAACAGGGTAACCAACAGCAATCAACATAGTGAAAAATACAAATAGACTGCAGTTCATCCCCAAGCGAATATTGAGTAGTGGATTATTCGAAATTACTATTCAAAATTTTGAATATTCTCACAACACTAGTGTTTAACATATCGAGCTAGATTTCTTCCAAGAGGTGGCCAAAGAATATGCATTAAGTGTATCAGCATTTCACTATATTTCTATTTTATACTGTTTTAACATCACAATAAAGATAAGTAAAAGTGTGCCTGATGCAGAGAATGAGTAATTTTACGCTGCAACAAATCATTGTTTGCGGGTTTATGGCGCAAGAGCTCCGAGGGCCCTACTGCGCCAAACTAGGTAAACTAAAATCCACTAGAAAAGGTAGGCTAAGGAAGAAATTTCACTATAGTTTGTGTAAAATCCCTACATTTTCTAGAAAAGCTAAAAAAACGGTCAATTGACATCAGAGGCTGCTCTTTTAGGAACAGTACTGGAAAAGCTCAGGAAAAAAGGACTTGTAGAATAACAGGCTGAAGTTGAGCTAGTTGGTGTCTCTGTTTCTCCCTGTCTCTGTTTTGTCCCTATCGTCTAGCTGAACGTTTATTCTTTTGTTTTGTTGTAGAAGACCAGGGAAAAGAAGAATATGTGGAACAAAGTGCCTCCACAGTGGTCGCACACCGGTGGTTCCTCACCAACAAGCGGGTATCGATGGGTGAGGAACGTGTGGCCAATCCCCAAGCAGCAACCTCACAGAAACGGTTCCATTTATGGCAAGTTTCCCAGGCATCAAAGCCTGGCTTGATGGTATGTGTTGTTATCGGTCAAATCGCACTCGGACTGCCAGAGTTTTAAAAGCGCAAGCCGTCTGGACATTGTAACGTCTTAGTTGTAAGGGCGTGTGATGGTAACAGGTTATGCAAGGAGGCGGCCAGTCTACCTTCACTGCCTGCAAAACTCGCATGGCTAGGGATCCCATAAAACTTAATTTTCTTCCCATTTCTGAGGCCCATTTGAACTTTAGCACATACCAGTTGGGTCAACTTGTTCTTGGTTGGATTATATATCCTGTACATTTGCTAGTTGATTGTTGTAAACCTTTTTAATGTTGTGTTATTTGTTTGTTGTTGTATGTGTGAATTCATATGTTGTACCCCACTCCTACTTGGGCCTTCAATGGCCTGTAGTATCCTCTAAATAAAAAAAATAATTAAGTGAACATGCTGCAAGTAATAACGCTCCGAGTCCACAAAAAACAGCTTTCGTCACTTTGCTCCGGATAATATAGTCAAGTGCTGACAGTACGCCATATGGATCGGCAGTAAAAATGCTGGCAACACTATTCCGCTGTGTCACACGTGTAAAAGAATTTGAATGAACAGCAGAGCCTACATAGGACTTGGCCCCATCAGTGTAGTGGAAGAAATTGCAGTGGAAGAAATTCCCGTTGTATAATGAGTGGGGAGACATTATGTTTATTAAGTTTTTTGAAATACCAATCACAAGCGCTTGATACCGCATGGGGCAGTACAACATGCACCTTCTAGGAGGTGGACATTTTCACGAGGCAGGTCAAGGAGAGACAAAGGTTCTCAAAACAAAGATTCAAGGGTCAAACAATCAAAGGTATGACAAAATCTAGACTCGTGTATATAACTGTGGACTGGATGACTAGAATCCGATAGAACCTTGTTTTCTCGAGTGACATTTCATTACAGTCTAGATACAGTCTAGGAGATGTTCGAAAAGCACCACTTGGTAGATGCAAGGTGGCGCACCGGAGGAAGCACCTTCAAGGCCAAGCAGATGCATACACGATATGTGACCGTACAAAAGACGAGACAAAGCCTCTTGTCGGAGCCCCAGGACTTGGGAGAAACAACTTTGAGGATGTTTGCCGTCTGCATACACTTTGGCTTCAGCTACTTGAGCTGAGATACAAAGCTAAGTTTGCAGTCGAAAATCACTCCCAGGAACTTATGCTATGGTCTAACCGCAATGTTATTTCCGTTTAAAATGAAAATCAGATCTAACCGATGCCCACATTGCACAAACGGGACACAGATTGTTTTTTCTGAAGAAAACTTAAAACCATTTTCATTTGCCCATTTAGTCATTTCCTTTATGGTGGGCAGTAGCTGCCTTTCACAGCTACACATATTACGAGACGCCAGAGAAATTTGAATATCATTTGCATATAGAGAGTATGATACAGAAGAAGCATGACCTGACAGAGAGAATTAATTTTTATGGCGAAGAGAGGGACACTCAGCCAGCACTCCACCCTGAGGAACACCGTTCTCCTGAACAATCGGGCACGGAAAGTGCGTCCACACAGGAGGTTCTTGATGCAATGAAGCAATCTGCCGCATACTCCATGCATAAAAGGTCACGAAGGATGCCAAGTTTCCGAGTGGTATTCATAAGTCTTTTCTTTTAGTAGGGTACGTTGTTGGGCTATTTGGTTCATATTAGTTAAACATATAAAATAACGCAAAAAAGACAAATACAAGAAGTATACAGGTAGCGCTTGTCCTGGTATACTTCTTGTCCTTGTCTTTTTTGCGCTATTTTGTATGGTTAACTAAAAAGTCTTTTCCAAGTGAAAAAAGACTGATACACAATGCTGCTTATTCACAAACACCTCGCATACAAACTGAACCGTCGGTCGTGCAGCGTCCACGTCAACAGCCGCACTAATTTATATCCAAAATATTAGTATGTTGTTCGAGGAAATAAATGACCGTTTATTAACTAACCTTTCAAAAGTCTACCCAACCAACTCGTCAATGCTATTGGCCTATAACTAGAAGAAGGGTCTTTTCCAGGCTTCAGCAGCGGAATAAACTCTGCCCGCTTCCACCCGGCACGGAAGTAGGAATCTTTCCACGGACCACTGAAGCAAGCGAGAAGGGCAGCGAGTGATTCCTTCGAAAAGTGCTGAATCATCTCGTAATGTATCTGGTCATGACCTGGGGACGAGTGCTTCCGGACACTAAGAGCCATTTGGAGCTCGGCCATTGTAAACGGTTGATTTTAGGGCACAGAGGCTCCTCCTGCCAAGCTGACTTTCGCTCTTTCCACGTCTGTCCTAAACTTAAAGGCACTGAAGAGTAATGGAGGAGTTAAAAATGGCTGCAAAATGCTCGCCCAACACATTAGCCTGGTTGCGCAACGAGTCCACTGAGGGAAAAAGAGGAACTGTAAAGCAGCGGTATTTCCCTTCAACTTCCCACGCTTCCTTTGCTGGGGCTGCTGAGAGAGGTCAGATAACCTTTCCAAGACTTCCTCCTTGCCTACTTCCTAGTTGAACAAGCTTAAACCCATTTCTCTGAGACTCTATCAAATTCACAAATGTCGGATATCTCCGAAATATACCTCAAGCCATATCCTGTTTTTTTTTAGTGGTGGAACATTCTACAGTCAAACCCACTAATAACGAACCCACATATAACGTTCATCGGTTATATCGACCAGGTTTCAGGAAATGTATGAATTCAAGGCTCTACCCATTGAAATTGCTCCAGATAAAACGCTTTTCAAAGCATCATACTGTTACAATGAACACTCAAAGTCCGCTTTCTGAAGAAAGAAAAAGAACTCCCGCGCGCGAAAAAAAATAAAGATCAAGAGAGCTACATTCTGGGCGCGGCGCTCCGGGAGATGCTCAAAGTCATTTCCACGGACTTCCTTAGAGAGGAAACAAAACTACAAAAATGCCCTCCCGAGTCGTGGATTCACTACAGTGTTTGCATGATTCTAACGCACACTTTTTTTCCCATAATTCGTGCCCAAAACTACATGCGTGTTACAATCGAAACTGAAACTCAAGAAAAACTCTATGCTCGGTGTAAAGGTGGCTAGCGCTAGCGCCATCGCCATCGTGACCATTTGTTTATGTTCGCCATTTTGGTATCTGTATCGTGCACGTTCTCTCGCGTCTACGAACTCGTGTCTGTCGTTTTAAGATTGAGAAAAAGAAAAGAAATCCAATAGGAGGCTTTATTTAAACGAAAGGGCATCAAGCTGGCGGAAAAATATAACAACAGAGCAGCACGGCGTGCAATCCCAGCCACCCGACGAGCTCGCAGTGTTGTTTGAAAGACAACCCTGTCAGAGGCAACGGCCGCGCACTCGTACATGCGCAAGAAGTGCGGCACTTAAAACGCTTTAGACGAAAGCAAGTTAATTACTTGTGTGGACAGCGAAGAACCATCGTCCGACACGGCATTTA